TGGTCAAGGTGAGTAAACATACAGGACAAAAGTTTTACTGTCTAAAATCAGACAGACAATACAACCCTCACAGCAGTGCAGTCTCTTAGCTCGAGCCTTAGCAGAAACGCACCGGATCAACCCAAGTTATAGACTCTACGGCATTATTCCATTATTTTGTCAAAAAAAAAAAAAAAAAGAAGATACCTTTTCTGCCCTGCCTTGTTTTTAAATACCCTGATTAGATGAAGTAATATTTCTGCCTTTTTCTTATAATGAAATACCCACAATCTTTATCTCAAAGCCAAGGTCTGATTGTAGCATGTCTTTATGTTTATGTACGTACATACAGTAATATATAAAAGGAACAAATCATGGAGCTGCATCCTTACACATGCTGACATTATGCTAATCTGCACACACTTAATCAGGAAGGCTAATACATTACAAACACAATTAATGGCCAGAATAACCAGAGGAGGTTTTGACCCTTTTTAACAAGGGCTTGAAACATAAAAATGTTCTGATTATATATGAACCTCATCCAAAATTGCAAATTATATGTCCACAATGCATAAAATATAGTCAATTTCAAGTCACATCTAGGTAAAAATTGAAACTGTATTGAGCCACTGGAGCAGCTCTTCAATTGATCCAGCATCTCATTGTATCTTTAAATATGGATAAATGCAATTTAATCAGCCATTCCCATTGATTAACTCCAAGTTAACCCAAGTATTTATCGAGGAAACATGCAACCATAGAAGAAAAGAAACTCATGCAGAACATAGCATCCCCATAGTAATCAGCAAGTTAACAAGAGGGGGTGAAAGCTTAGTCCCACCAAAATTAATGCAAAACTCCCACCAGCTTAAATAGGACCATAATTCTCCATCTAAAATTCATGACTGATCAAGTCTTAAGATAGTAGGGAAGTCTGTCCCTGGGCAAAAAGAGAGATAAGCAGAAGCCATAGCTCCAGAAAGGAAAGTTCAGATGTTTTAATTATACCTTAGCAATTACTACCTGGATGAACTGGACTGAGCAAAAGCAGAAAAATGTATTCTGCTCCCTAAAAAGTTCAAAAATCTAAACCTACAGAACCCCACAGTTCAGACTTTCTGCCTTGCGGCATCTCATCTTTATTGGAGTGAATCTTGGGTAGAGGGATCCAGCTAGGAACTTCTGAGTTGGTGCAGAGAACCTAAAACTGCAGCTCCTCTCAGCAAGCTGGGAACAAGTGTTGAGCAAGTGTTAAATAGCCAAAGAATGCTCTGAAAGGCTTGGACCATCTCAATCATACAGCATGGCTCCACTCCAGGGGAGATACCCAGTGGAAGACTTCATACTCATTGCTAACCTCACTTTCTCAAGCCAGGCCATTCACAGCCAAAAAGCAGCTGGACCAGCAGCTGGCTATTGCCATAGCAAAGCTATGGCCACCAAATTTTCAGAGAAGTGCATTAAACTAATTATGCTTCCCTGTGGTCCTCTCTGGAGACATAGGGAGGCCAGTTCCCATTTCTGAAAGCCTGGCCAGGGCTCTGTGATTACAACTACACAGAAGAGCACTTCTGTCTCTTACCACCTGCCTTTATAAATTAACAAATTCACCAACAAATATCTTTTCTTCAATAACAAATTCAGATGTTTGTTATCCCTATTTTTCCCCGATTATGCTCTCTCAATTTTTCAGTGGCAGCTATCACAATAAGGAAGGAGAGGTTTGGATGAAAAAAGAAACTCAAATTTTGTACCATCTGTTAAATGACTTCCAGTCTGAGAGAACAGATGCTGGACTTCACTATCAGTTTTTGATTGATCTAGAAGTATTTTGTTAATTGGGGCTAAAACTACAGCCAAGACAGAATAAGTGTCAGAGAAAATATGAAAAGAATAGCTCAAAAAAGAATAGCTCAAATTCTTCTCAAACTACCTGGTCACTCAGAAAAGATTTTGTAATTTAGGTAAT